CTGATTCACCCCTTAAGGAAATCAAAATGTGGATTTAAGTTACGGGGAAAAAAACCTGTGCAAATGGAAACAAGTTGCTTAAGCATACTTGGAGAGTTTCCCCCAGTTATTGACCTCCCCTGAGACACCCCCATCCCTAATTGTATTCACGTGCTCCTTTTGCCTTTGGGGCTGCAGTGTTCATAGGATTAAGCTGCCCACGCTTTGGCCCCAAGGCAAGTTATACGAATGCACTTTATGAATCCGATCCAAAACTCAGAGGTCAGCGTGAGTCTTTTCCTTGACTTCATCAATGGGGTTTGGAGCAGGCTATAAAAAAACGTGTTACTTGCAGCAGCCTCAAGGCAAAAGGATTTGTGCTATTTTGGGGGTAAGCTGACTGCACGCATGGTCCCAATGATACAGCAGTCTTAAATAGATTAAGATTCAATTGGCTCATAAGAGCTAGCAGCTTTGTCCAGCGCATCCCACTAGACTGCCTTCAGAGCGTTTCCTACATACTTTGAGCGTTCAGATTAAGATGGAAGATGCTGAGATCAGTGTGCAAAGGCAAGGATTATTGAGAGAGGCAAAAGGTCTTACCAAATACTGGTGTTGTTTTGTAATGGAATAATTGGAACCTGTTGGGTTGATTCTCCTGTTACTTGCTTTGCTTGGCACTCTTCTCACTTTCTTGGTCCTTCGTTTGCCTCGCAGTTGAACTCACAAGCATAGGATCCTTCTTAGCAGAGAGGAAAAAAAACTTTCTAGTCTGTAGGGCTGGTGGCAAAGGGCAGCGAGAACAGTTGTCAGAGGGGGACTGAGGATAGGATTATGGATACCAAGGGACTGCAGGGAAAGAAGATGACTTCAAAAAGTCACATAGGTTCTAAGTAATAGTCCTAATAAATACTGAAAACGGTACGCGTTCTTCTCAGCACTGCCCTTGCAGTGCCAGCTGGGGCAATGCCATGAATACTCAGCTCAGAGATTTTGCCATAATAATGGAAAGTGCACGCCATGGTGAGTGTAATCTGGGTGCGCTTATCACAAAGATGGCTGTAATCCTGCAATATAGGGCTGTGGAGCCGGAGAGGTCATTTTTAGCATGTGTGGCTAAATCCCTTCCCTGGATTTCTGCATGCTGTTTCCTATTTGCACGTCGTAGCAGGCGTGTTTGTGTGTCGGACGGCTGCCTCAATTTCCTCTGCTGATAAAGCAGGGAAGAAGGCGCCACGTCTAGCTGTGTGAAGGCCCCTTTCTGCAGGGTTTCCTCATGCAAATAATAGCAGCTCATGGGACTCGCCCACAACGCACCAGCTTTTTTCTTGTTCCTTGTATCCGAAGTTTGTGGCATGTGAATCTTGTTTGTTTTCTCCCAGGACTTTGAATTCAAGGCTACCAGGAACATTTTCCCCGTGCTTAGATATTGTCAACGCATATAAAATGGCTGCAGAATGTTTTTGGGAACATTTTGTAGGCACCAAGAAATCATATTTCTCCCATTCAGGTCTTGGACCTGCTTTCCTTGTGCATCCAGAACTGCTGTTGACTTGCTGGGAGCCTGGGATCAATGGGAAGCATTGGACATCGCGGTGCTAGAGTTGGAAGGAATTACAGAGGGGTCCGATCACGACATTAGTACTGCTGACCCTACTGTTCTGAAAACATTATTGTCTTAAACAGTGTGAGAGTTAAAAATATATATATATTAAGCTTAGGATCTTTATATGGGAAACACTTGGGTCCATGCTTTCATTTTTTCCTCTGTAAACCAGGGGGATAGAAACTTTTGGGTTTTTTTAAGGTAAATCCTGAGATTCTCAGGTATTTGCATAGTTCTGGAAGCAGGGCTTTAGGCAAAATGCTAGTTACCCTAAGACTTGTGATAAAATGGTAAGACTTGGCAAAAAAAAAATCTCTGGGTTTTGTAGGACAGGGGTTAGGGAGTCAGAAGCGAGTAGGGGTTATGTGACGCTGAGACTATTTGGTGCCTGCCTAGAGAACTGAACCAGGTCTCTCTTGCTTCTTTCCAACTTGGCATTGCTCTGATCATTTGAGCCGGACACCATCCGGTCGTTCTTAGTTTGACCCAAATGACCCCCATCAATCCAGTCATCACGGGCAGGGGTCAAGTAGGGCTTTTGCAGCAGGAACTACTTTGTGTTTTGAGAGTTGCTGTGAACTGCCCTAGTATTAAATGGCCTTGTCCTTTCTCGGAGGCAGGGTCAGAGCTGAGCCAGACCGACTCAGCACCTCTCAACGGCACTTGTGCCACACGGCTGTTGTTTCTCCTCGGATCCCGACTGCCTGGCTGATCCAAGTTAAACGCAGAAGCAGCCCTGCGACAGCTTCCAGAGGCCGCACTGTTTATCTTTGCTAGAGGCAGAGTGTTAACAGGTTGTAAATTCAGATTTAGTTTCCTCTCAGCCGGAAAGACAACCCGAGAGTCTCAACATAGTGTAGATCACTCCTGCATATATAGGAGTTTTTTCCCACCCCCCTCCTCTCTTTCTTATAATCCTTTAAATAATACCAGGGAAAAGGTATTAACTTTCAATGCTGTGGAAAGCAGTTTTCCTCTGAGATGTTTTAGAAGCTTATTCACGGAGCTCCATGACTCAAATATCGGTAGCCAAGTTGAACTGAAACAGTCTCTTTTTCCTCCATTTAAAACAAACCAGTGGTTGATTCAGAGTTTGTGGGGATTGGGAGCGCTAACCTAGAGTTAGGCAGGCAAGCTTCTTTGGGGAGATGTGATATCTTTTATTAGATCAACTGACTACTTAGAAAAAACGTTCTTTGCAAGCTTTCGGGCACAAGCACCCTTGTTCGGGCATGAGGAGTCTCCGCTCCGAGGAGATCCCATAACGGCAGACTCCCTATGCCTGCAAAAGGATGCTCACGCCCAAAAGCTTGCAAATAACTTTTTTCCAACTACTCAGTTGGTCTACTAAAAGGTATCAAGTCTACCCGAAGAAGCTTGCCTGCCTGTGTCCTTAGACTAACAGAACTCGAACCAAAAACCCTGCAACCGAGAGTTAATCATTTAAAGGGACTACACCAGAAGCAGATTGTTTTTTTGACTTAAAACAATAAATGGTCAGAAGAGAGAGCTACCAGACCTTGTTCCTTGCCTTGCAGCAGATCTTTTAAGGGAAGTGAAGCACCGTTTCCCACTGGAGTGAAAACAAACTGGGTTTCCAGATCACTTGGGCTTCTTTACAAGTCTCATAAAACAATACAGAAGGATGGCCTATGAACACAGGTTTCCCTTACTTTATGCTGTACATACGTTCCTGGAAAACGGCGCAAAACTCGAATTCACGTAAAGGGAACACACGTTACAATGTAACAAATAGGGATACGTTCCAAGACCTCAACGGTACTGACCCCCAGACCCATTTCTACCACTTTTACAAGACGATTTTGGTACCCACCAGCAGCAGAGAGAGGTAGGGGATAAGCTAGAGGGATGCTTAGAAGCCATAATGGGGATGGTAACTACAGAAACACGTGTCGCAGACAACGAGTGAGGAGCACAGATCCACATCGGAGACTATATTTGGGTGCACGTCACTCCCACAGTGCACTGCGCAAACCAGCTGACTGCAGGTTGCCACCACACCGATCGCATAAGAGGGAATTTAGCTTGCATACAACAGTTTTTTGGTATAAAAGGGGTCATTGCATAAGAGTGAATTCGCACATACAGAACCCGCATAAAGCGAAGGAAACCTGTACACTACCTTCTTCTCAACAGCTTGGATAAGGGGAGGGTAGAGGGTCTTGCAGCGTGCCCTAAGTCAGTGGTCCTCAACCTTTTTTGCCTCAAGGGCCCCATCAGAAAATGCCTGATCTTAGTGTGCACTCCTTTTTTTAGCTACAGAAAAATGGAGTAATTTTTCTGTTACAAACAGCTCCGGCCACAATAGGTCTGAAAGTTTTCGACATCATAAATTTCCATTTGAAAGCTCTGTGTTTGTCGTGTGAATTATGCACAGGTGTTTGCACACCTAGCAGTGCTAGTGGTGCCTGGCACCTTCAAAAAGATCTCCTGGTAGCTCAGGTTGCTGCAGCACCCTAGTTGGGAATCACTGCTCAAACCCTGGCCAGCTACTCAGGGTAAGCTGGGAGAAGTGAATTCTCAGGCTTAGCACTTTTCCCTAGATCTGGACAAACATTTTTCAGTGGTTAATAGTTTTGAAAAAACAATGCATTTGCAGAGGGATTGAGTGGTAGGTGTAATGTAGTGAATACATTCAGCCGGGAAATATGGGAGAATATCTAAAAACAAATGTTGCAACAGTATTCAAACAGCATATTTTTATTTCAAAATGTTTTCTTTGGGAAATGCCAAGCATTTTGTTTTGACATTCTCTACATGAAATGTTTTGACTTCTCAGTATAAAATGACTTTGTTGTTGTTGTTTCAAGATTGACCGACAAATTTTAAGAAAAGAGAAAAAAAAATTTTTCAGACTTTCTCTGCAGTGAAATTTTTCAGTTATTTCAGTTTGCTTGTGTCAAAGGCGTTCCAGTACAAATACGTCTCCTGCAGTAGATCACATGGAGGGAAGGAATTTAGTATGAACTGCTGTCATGCCGACCAGGATCGGCTCGTGATTTCCTTGTTTCTCTCCTTGTTTTCCACTTGGATAGCAAGCTGTTTGGGGCAAATGTGCTTTGCGCTCTGTATTTCTACAGCACCTAGCACAAGGACATCCTAGGCACATTTGCAAAACTGCTGATGCTATTACTACTAGAAGTACTACTGAGTTTGAACCAAATATTTTGACATGCCAAAATGAAGCATTTGATAACTGTCATTTTTCACATTTGCTGTGTTCTGTCCTTGCTGAGTACCCAGAATTAGAGAGTTTATAGAGAAAGTGATCATAACATGGCCTGGAGACCATTTCCTGAGGACCGTACTTGACAACCCCATGCAAAAAACCCACTTCCTGGACAGAGCAGGAGAGGTGAAGGGCAAGAGCCACCCTTTATAAGAATGGCTAACTTAACAGTTGCTCACAATCTAGAAATCATTCCAAAACACATCTGGGGCTGATGCTTCATTGTAACAGATGCCAAACCTGAAATAGCAGGGAAGTCGCATCTAGATATGGCCCGGTAAAGTTAAAGAGAGCCCCTGCCCCAAAGAACTTGCAGTTTAAACAGACAACATGAGCAAAAGCATCATTATGCCCATTTATTCAGGTAGAACGAAGCAAGGAGTAGCTGGGAGACTACCTGCGACTATGCAAGAAGGTAGAGGCTACGCTAAGAATTTAGCTCAGATCTCCCATGTCCACACAGTGATCCTTGCTCTTTCTGGGTACTGCCCAGACTAAACAGGCATGTTAGAGAGCATAAGATACCAACTAGGTCATGCTCCGTGTCCCTCTTAGCCTTTGGATCCTCTGCTGAAAGTAGACTTGACACTTGTGATGGTTATGGTTCTGCAAAATGGATGTCTGCCCTCCCCGTTCAGGGCTGTCATGAGACCTGTGGACTCATTTCATCGAGGAAGGTGAAAGGAAAAGACTGACTTCATAAAACAAATCTTATTAATTACTGCAGTTCGTCTCCTGCCTTGGGTTTACGGGTTCCTCCAGCTGGCTTTAATCTCCTGATTTAGTATGGGAACAAAGAAGAGAAGTGGAGCACATAAATCATGGCAGAGAGAGAGGTGGAAAATCTTTTGGCAAAACTTGAGAAGGTTCGAGACTCACCGTCAAGCGCAGCCCGGAAACTGGCCGCAGCTAGCATCAGAGGTTGTGTGGGTACGGGGGGCGGAAAAAAAGACCCTGAGACGATAAAACCGTTTTCTTACAATGTGACCTTTGGAAATCAGTAAGGTCAGGTGCTCTTTGATCAGTGCAGCCTTACCGAATGTGAAGCTTGGGGAGGGTGAGCAAACATAACAGGCGAGAAAGATTTGAGGCATTGAAGAAGAGCGACCAAAAGGGGTCAGTGTTTGTTAAGCTGAGGCATCAGATTTAAAGCACACGTAGATTTAAGCATGTGCATGTGTAAGCCATGCAGCAAGTTTAACAATAGACCTGAGTAGGGGACCTGGTTTGTTCTGGATGAAACAGTGGTTGCTAATCTAGGAGCGGGCGACGTACAGATCGAAGAACAGCAAGCAGGTGAAAGGATGGCACTTATCTGGCACGCTAACGATGAAGAAGGAAGTATACCCTTCCGCAAAGAAACTACACTGACAGGGAACGGAGGGCTGGAAAAAGGCCTCGGTGGCTGCACAACTTCCATGAAACTTTGTATATCTTGCGGGGGGGATGCATTTAGTTGTCTCAAGTTGACTTTTGAATCTCTGGTGGTTGTCTCGTATGGGTGGAGACCCGAAACCTTAAGATGCGTCTACCTTATAATCATTGCGGTGACTGCAGCTTTTGCCTAAATAGCTCGGGGATGGCTAATGGTATAGTCATGGCTGCAAAACTTGCCTGGGAAAATAGGTAATGCTCAACCCGCACTGAGTTCTGCGTTGCACCAGTTGCACTGCTCCAAGTCCCTGAGCTAGCACATTGAAGTCCGGGACAGACATTGCATAAACCGGTTTGACCCAAATCTGTTAAGGCTGATACTACATTCAACCAGGTTTATCTCAAACCAGTTTCACCCATTTTTAAAGTGGTTTATGTGCACTGACGATCTGTTCTGCTACAGGTTTAAACCAGTTTCTGATCACTTAAACTGGTTTATGTGTAATGTCTATCCCTAGCCTTAAAGACAGCTGTGGGACAGGTGCCACACTACAGTATAGACATGCCCTGAGTGGCTAGGTCTCTTGTTGGTACTCCAAAAATGCTAGACAACACAGGACCAGTGGCAGCATTTGCTGCAAAGATTACCTGAGCATTGCAAAACTGTAGCGTGTGAAGAAATCTGTGGAGAACTCAAAGCTTGCCCTCTGTACATCTTAGTCTGACAGGTGGTATTAGCCTTTCCTGACCATAAACACTTACCCAAGATTTTAATTTAAATGGAAAAATTGTAATGGGAGCAAGCATCAAAGACTCCAGGAGTTATTTACCACATCTTCAGCTGTGGCTGTTGCTGGTTTAATTGCCTTTCATCTGCAAAAAGAATCAGAACTCATGGTAGAGGTGATATCTTTTATTAGACCAACTAGTTTTTTGCAACAACAAAAAGTCTTTATTTGCCAGCTTTCAGGCACAAGGACCTTTTTTCAGGCATAGAAGAAAAGATGGTTTTGCCTCTAGACAAATAGAGCTACAACCTGGATACCATTCATCTGTAATGAATTTATCAGGTGGTCATTACATATAGTCACTGATGAACAATGCAGTGTCTTGTACTGTGACAGCAGAAGGGACAAGGATGTGCAATGGCAGTGACTGGATTTCTATCCAGGGTTAGGCTGAACACATTAAATAAGTTATTTCTCTCTAAATTCTACACTTCAGGATACTGAGAGGCTGAGGACCTAGATGAAAATTGACGGTGAAATTAAGAACCACAATTTGCAAGTAGAATATTGATTGGAAATTGCAAATTTTTTACAAAAATGATTAATTATTGTGGGATTTTCTAAATAATGATAAATCTTCTTTAGCCTGTCTTGGCAAGAATTTCATCAGTGAGTCCAAAGTGAGCATTCAGGGCCTTTCATCGGAAAAATGAAGATGCTTTTTCTTTCCTTCGTGCCAACAAAATGTTTTAATTCTCTGTTGTAGAAAGAGGGACAAGTTGCCCAATTACTGAAAGATGAAACTGGGATAGACATTTTTTTGTGCTAGGAATTAATAGCCATAGTGGTTTAGGCAAGACAGTCAAGCTTCTCTCACTCATCATCCTGTCTGCCACATGCTGAAAAGACTTCAAAGCACCACTCTTATAGGATCCTGGATTCAGTGTGAAGCTGAAGCTGACCTCACCGCTATTCTGTTCAGCTTTAAAACGGAGACGACTTTCATCTCTCTGCTGTATGGTTTATTTCTGCCAAAGGATCAAAAATGATGGCCCTGATCCAGGAAACTATATGCTTTCAACATATGCTCAGCTCTGCAAATCCTTGGGTCTGTTCAGGAAGTTAAACTTGTGTTTTGATGTGGTTTCCTCTACTAGGGTTTATATTCACGTTCAGAGTTAAAAGGCAGGGCTGAGAACCAGGCTTGAGATTCTGGATTTGAATGGATGTGAGCATGGCTTTGATGCTTACTGCCAGGTTATTGCGTTGGCTATTGCTACCATGAAGAGCGGGTAGCCAAAATGACTGGGGAAGCATGGTAGCATTCCTACATCGTGGCTAGGACGAGGTAAGTGAGGAAGATGGCCGGTCCTAGTTTGGAGAAAAGTCCAAACGAACATAATTAATCGATGTTTTAGAAATGCTCTCATTTTTTATAGCTAGATACAAGATTTGGATTGCGAGGACAACCAAAAGCCTAAACGTAACTACTTCTGATGCTCCGGACAATAGCTGTGTTGATAGATGCAAAAAAGATTACTCGCTGCGGTGGCGGATGGCAAATACGGGACTTGGTTTGGTCCGTTCAGGTTTAACCCCAAGGTTCAAGTAACTCGAGAGGCGCCGCTGCTGATTCACATACCCTTCAGCTGTTAGAGAAACATGTGAAATGCATGTTGTGATATAACGGGTCAAACTTTTCCGCCTGGACAAGTGACAAGTCTGTGAGTTGGCATGCTGTCTTTTCAGAGAAGGACGCTGGGCATTTAAAAATAAAAATGTGGCCAGCCAAGTGATTCTGTGTGATTAAACAGGTAGAGCAGGGAGGAGAATTGCTCAGTTGGAGTGGGGAACTGTGCTCTGAGGAAGCCTGGAGTATTCCAGCTGCTTGTCATCTCCATTTACTGTCACCGCACCTGCCTGCGTTGAGAAAAATAGTATATGTATATATACTGCATAGGTCAGGTAGGTAAATACAGGACACCATCAAGCAATTTGGCCTTTGGGTCTTTGGTCTAAAAAGTTTATTGAGGAGCTATAATTTACAATTTTTTTATATACCGAGCTGGTACTATTGATTTTTTTTTTTTAAATGAATATTTAATTATAGTCATGCAACAAGGTCAACCAATTTTTGGAAAGGAAATAAATAGACTTTACTTTGCTAGCAGTCAAACATTGTAAGTAAATTAACATTTAAGTGATAACAGTTGTAGCGTGTGTATAGAGACGTACGTTTAAAATGCACGGGACTTGGTATAATCTGACCTAATTCTGATTCATCCATTGACCTTGTTATATAAAATTCAGTGCCCTTTTTAGAAGGAGCCACAGATTACACTTCTGCATATTTATTTAAGAGCTCAGTCTCCTGGATATCCATACTCTAATTCCAGTGCTAAGTACCATGACAACATTGATTTCCCTTACTAAATCTAACCTACTTTTATCCCTGAATGGGCTTATGTAATAGTATATGTGAAAACCACTCAACTTAATGCCCAATATTGTAGTTAATTAGCAAAGTGGTATTGTAGCCACAGTCCTTTGTTCTCGAGTAGTGGATTGTTCTACTAACCGTGGCCAGCTAAAGCATCTCCCTAATAAACAAGAGCCCAGCTATTGAGTATTATGAGCTACACGGCAGCAAGAGTAATTTGCAGCTCCTGAGGACAGTGTAATCCTGAACAAAATCTAGATTTGTGATTCCTACTGGCGTTCTGCCATTTCAAAACCATTTTCAAGCAACAGACACAGAAAATAGGTTGAAAAGCTTTTCCCTTCCTCTTTTCGGTAAGATTATGGCATGTCAGCAATGACTCTTCTTCAGATTTGGTTTTCTAAAAGCGTTATCAAGTGCCTGTGCTAGGCTAGCGGTTTTATTAATGATGAATTTTAGGATGGAGGGAAGGCAGTTGAAGGCGTTCTAGATATGCCCAGTAGAGTCCAGGTATATTTCTTGACATGTTAGCAGTCAGCTGGTAACTTTATGCTAATTCTGAGATATGCAGTAGAGTTTTTGTACTAATGGACATGTATTTATGCTGTACATTAATTCAAACTATGTGTAGTTGGGAAGAACTAATGGGCTTTGCACACCTTGATGAACCCTCTAGTGGATCACATTCTCTCTTTAAGAGCTTTAATGCCGTCTTCAAGTTTCATAGTTTCATAGTTTCTAGGGTCGGAAGGGACCTGAGCAGATCATCTAGTCTGACCCCCTGCCATGGCAGGAAAGAGCACTGGGGTCAAATGACCCCAATAAGGTGGTCATCCAACCTCCTCTTAAAAACCCCCAGGGTGGGAGCCTGCACCACCTCACATGGAAGCTGGTTCCAGACCCTAGCCGCCCTGACCGTGAAGTAGCGCCTCCTGATGTCCAACTTAAACCTTCCCTCCGCCAGCTTGTGACCATTGTTCCTGGTCACTCCTTG